CCGTTGAAAACATATTGATTTGGAAATTCTTGTAAAATTTATATTTTGTATTTTTAAAAATAATTTTTTATGTTGTATTTTTTTACTTAATACATTCCTTATTTCCATGTATGATATACAGAAATTGCCATTATTATAACAAGGTCACGTGATCTAAGGGTTTTGTCCCTTTACGTGGCCTTTTCAAAACATTTCGTTTCTTACAGGTTGTATTTTCCGTTCAGCTTTAAAAGTGTAAACTTTAAATTATTCTTTATTTTTTTCATTTACTATTTCACTAAATAATTTTATTTTATGTATTGTATTTCCATTAGTGTGTGTCATACTCAAATAGAATAATTTTTTTAAAAACTCAGACTTAAAATTATGTCATTTATGGTCATCAGTAGTAGCTGTGATCGGCTCGTCATAGAACAATCCATCAATTGATCGAACAGATGAACAGGACCGCTCGTTAATAATTGGTTGTATATTATTTTTTTATGCTATAAGTAACAAAGATTTCTTTGAAATCAGATTACTTTAACTTTAATTTTTTTTAATTTTACTAAAAAACGTGTCAGAATTTTTTTTAAATATTTTAAAAATCGATAAATTTGTGTTTGTTTACAAATTTCTTAAAATTAAGAAAATGGCCGTTTTTAAGAAAATTTAAAAATTTGAAATTAAATTTGGCAATCAAATGTATATAGTTACTTTCTGAAATACACCAGAATTGTTTAATTAATAGAAATCGTAAATTTAAATTAAACTTTCAATTAAAGCTAAAATGAAATCTTCAAGAATGTTTTTTCGTTGTAAAAAATTCATTTTAAACTTCAATATAGAAAATTTATGCCGAAATAGTGGAGGTACCTAGTTATTACCAAGTCGAAAAGCACGAACAGATAACAAAAACGACACCAAAAATTTCAAAGTCAGCGATAAAGCGTTCTTTAGAGCATATAAGGATGGCTAAGAAACGGGAAGACGGCGTAATTACAGCAAGAATCGGAAAGTTGACTTACATGGTAAAAGGGAAAAGATTTGAACATAAAAAGCCACCATAATCAGCTGAAAAAAGGTCCATCGATGAAAAACCTGAAACTTGTCGCACACCAATTTTACTTTTCTAGACAACATTAATTCCGCCGGTGACATGCCTGATGGTAAATTGAGGTTAGGTGTTACACAGTAAACTCTCAGAAAACTTTGAAGTGATTCCTTATTTACTTTCTCAAGACTTGCTTTCTTCAATGCTCTTTTGAACGTTCCCAAAAACCGTTCCGCTTTTCCGTTCGACCTTGGGTGATACGGCAGGGGTCGTAATATGCTCAAAGGAGAACACCTTACAAAAGTCTTCTAATTATTTACACGTTAATTGCACTCCGTTATCGGAGACTATGGTATCTGTTATGCCATATCTTCCAAACGGTTCATGCAAGAAATTTACTGAAGATGTATTTTTGCACTTATAAATTTCTGGTTATTTAGTGATACTATCAACTACCACAAGATAATGTGATCCATTCATAGGACCTGCAAGATCTATATGCAGTCTTGACAACGGTGTCCCTGTCTTTGGCCAAGGTTCTTTGTGATAAGTAATTTTGCTGCCAGAGCACAACCTCTGCAAGCTTTTACTATTTTTTTCAATATCTTGGTAAATTCTGGTCCAATACACGAAACATCTCATCAGTGATTTCATTCTTGAAATACCAAGATGTCCGCTATGAAAATCCTTCAATATTCACTTCTTTAACACAAGCTTTACAACCCTTTGCTCAAAAATTACTACACTGTTGCATAGTGAGTAAGCGTTTAAGTCTCGATTTCGTTCTTTGTTAGTTTCTTTCAATTGTTTTTTTTATTTTCCCAATAAAGACGTCATTTTCGGCTTTTTCGTTTATTTCTTCCACGGTAACTGGTAACTCTCGTGTTACGCTGCACAAAATGTTTTTTCTTTAATTTCCATTTCGCATTTTTGTGCTGCAATGACCGGGTCCTAAAATGGTTTCGTATTTTTAAGTATTAATCTTGATTAATCCGCGGGTCCTAATTTTTTAGACAGTTGGTACTCCATGCTAAAATCATAGTTTAATAAGATCGTACCCAGCGTTGTAGTCTATTAGCTGTATTCATAGGTAGTTCCTTTCTTTGAACCATGTATTGTTAATAGAGGTCTGTGGTCTGTTTGCAACCTAAAATTTCTTCCATGAATAAATTTATGAAATTTCTTCACAGCAAATATAATTGCTAGAGCCTCTTTTTCTAGCTGGCTGTGATTTTCCTCTGGGGGTAGAAGCGAGCATGAAGCATGAGCGAAAGCTTTCATTTTACCGACACCGTATTTGTGCAAAATCACTGCTCCAATACCGTACTCACTAGCATCTGATGCCACTACAATTTCTGCTTTTGGATCGTAGTGTGCTAATGATAAATCTGACGTAATTTTTTTGTTGTTTTATTTCGTCAAACGCCTTTTGACAGTTATCATTCCAGTTCCACTTTACCCCTTTTTTTAAGTTGATCGTTCAGTGGAGCTCTCAAATTATGCATAATTTGTACATGTATTTGATAGTAATTAGCCAGTCCTAGAAATGCTTGTTACGTAGTCACGTTTGTTGGTGGAAGCATAGTTTTAATTGCACTTACTCTCGACGAATCTGGTTGAGGAACATTTTTATCAATAATTTGACCAAGGTATTTAATTTTCGGCAAGAACAATTTGCATTTTTCTTCACTGAACTTGAATCCGAACTCTCTTTGTTTTCCCAAAATTGTTTTCCTATCTTGTTGTTTAAATAGACTTTTGATTAAAATGTCGTTCAGATACACCGCTACGAAATCGCAATCCGCAAACATGGCATCCATCGCCCGTTGAAAAATACCTAGTGCCACTTTTATACCAAAAGGAAGTCGGTTAAACTTATGTAATCGTCTCTTCTTATTTATGGTCGTTAATTCTGAACATTCATTTTCAATTTGTATTTGTAAATGCGTTTCAGAGAGATCCAGCTTTGAAAATATTCTTCCGCCGTTTAACTTCGAAAAAAATCTGGATTTGGTAATGATTAGTTATATGTTTTTAAACAACTGTTTAATCCTGTCGAGAAATCCGCGCAAACACAAATTTTATTATTTTTTTCTTTATATAAACCGCTGGTGCAGCCCATATTAAATGGTTAATTTTTTTTTATGAGACCAATTCTTTCGAGTCTGTCCGACGCATCGTTGACTTGTTCCAATGCTGCGATTGGCACACTCCGTTTTGGCTTAAATATTGGCGTTGAACCTTTGTTACTTGAAAAGCATCCTTGTAATTTGAACACCGACTCAGTTCATTTGACAGAACATCTGGAAAACATTTTTTTTTAAATCCTCCCTTAAGATTTTCGCTCGGACATTTTAAATTGGTGACTTATCTACTTATGATTTTACAATAAAACTTTATCGGCAAATGCCAAAGTTCAAATAATTCCATCTAGTCAGTACCGAATAAATTCGTATCATTTTTTAATCGTTAAACTTTAGTTTTTACATGCTTATTACCGAATGAGACATTACAAGATATTCATCCAAAAAATAATTTCTTACCAGAAACTGAAATTACGACTTTGGAATTTGTTTTTAATAAAGGCTTTTCAGTTTTCTTTCATGTGGTTTCGCTGATAATTGAAATATCACTGCCAGTGTCCAGTAGCGTTTTAAAAACTTCATTATTTATTTTCACATTCACAAATTTTCCTTTGTTTTCTGTGACTATCTTTTTGTTTCAATGCCGTGTACGAATATTTCCCTGCGAGAATTTTTTTCTTTGTTTTTGCAGTGTGACTTTATATGTCCTGTTTACCACACTTGTAACATTCTTCATTTTTAAGATGTAATTTACCACATCTGAAACAAGGATATGTTCTCCTTTTTGTACATTTGTCCTTTGTACCAATGCACATTTTTTTAATTTCTTCAGCATCCTGTTTCAGACACAGAATAGTCTGGCAATCGTCTACTATTTCTTGCAATGTAATATTACTGTTGTGTTCAATTTTCGTTAAAATTTTCGCTCGTATTTCACCATCTTTTTTAGCTGCTAAACCTTGAATTAAAATTAATACTTTGAACATATGTGGAGCCGTTTCTTTTATTCTACAATTCCACATTCTTTGTTGACGATACTAGCATACGTGACAAAATCTTCGTTCTCTTTTTTTTTTTTTGGTTCGATTTATGCACTTTGAACGAACATTAAGCAGATAGTTATTGTCACTAAAGATTTTCGTCAGAATGTGTACCTTGTCTTCAAACTCGATTTCACATTTTATTTTTTATTTATTTTTAATTTTTTTTTTTATTGGTGATATGTAGTTGCAATATTTTTCATACTCTATCGGAGCTATTTTCCTCAACAACAATCTCATTTTTCTCTATCTTCTCAGCTACTGCATTCCTAACTGAATATTTGTTCATATCTACGGAAATACGCAGAAAAAGGCAGTTCCCATACAAATTCTGATATGGTGTTTTCGACAGGGTCTGGCATAAGAGAATTTTTTTTGTTTATTCAGAATTCTATCCAACAACTGTTTCTGTTTTCGTAGTTCTGGCAACTGTTGATTTTGTTGTTTTTGTTGTTTCTGTTGTTGAATTTCAACTAGCGAAGCCAAAATTTGCTCCATATTCGCAAGAATATTTTTTTTTCCTACACAAAAGAGAAAAATTTAATTTTCTTCTGCGCAACAAGAATTTTTTTTTAAAAACCAGCGTGGTTAAAATTATTGTCGTCATTCGAATCCTAGTTCCCGAAACAAGAAATATCTTTTTTCAGGAACTGTGCACTCCGTACGAGTTTCCCAAGTCATTGTAACTCCAGTTACAACTCGTATGAGTTCCTGAATCCCCGTTACTTTCATAAGTCATAAGAGTCTGTAACAACGGTTATAAGAAGACTGGGATTAGAATGCCTTGTCGCCACTGTTATAATGCGCATCGTAGCGCCAATAATATAAGTAAAGCTTCGGCTTCTACTTCTTCTTACTTCTAATGTGTAGCTCTTTATTTAGATAGATAGATAGATAGATAGATAGATAGATAGATAATGAATAAACTAAGATAGATAGATAGATAGATAGATAGTATAAACATGCTGAAATAGATAGATAGATAATGAATAAACATAGATAGATAGATAGATAGATAGATAGATAGATAGATAGATAGATAGATATAAACAGTTTGAGATAGATAGATAGATAGATAGATAGATAGATAGATAGATAGATAGATAGATAGAAAGTATAAACAGGCTGAAATAGATAGATAGATAATGAATAAACATAGATAGATAGATAGATAGATAGATATGAACAGACCCAAACAGATAGATAGATAGATAGATAGATAGATAGATAGATAGATAGAAAGTATAAACAGGCTGAAATAGATAGATAGATAGATAGATAGATAGATAGATAGATAATGAATAAACTATGATAGATAGATGAATAGATAGATAGATAGATAGATATAAAGATAGATAGATAGATATAAACAGTTTGAGATAGATAGATAGATAGATAGATAGATAGATAGATAGATCGTAGCCTTCATGTGTCTTATTCCATTTTAAATTAATATAAATTGCTAATTATTTCCATCTTATAATAGTTTTTTTTAATTATTTACACTATTTACATTACTCAGGTTGTTGTCCTCGTAGCCCTTTGGATAAAAAAGCTCTCGTTGATGTAATCCAGTGACTTGACCTAAACAATTATGAATTCAGTGCCTCTGGCCACAGCAGATTTGAACAGTAATTTGAAATATGCGAAACTGTAATATCTAGAAAAGTCTTGGCACGTTAGATGAAATAAAGGGCCAGATTTGAAATTCCAACTTATATGACTTGAAGAAGACCAGAGCGAACAACGGTCGAAACATCGTGAATATGACAATAAAGATGCGAAAAACTTCCCGGTCTATGTAATTAGTTACAATATATTTATTTTATATTTATATTTCTGAGATGAGCTCTGAGATACAAATTTAAAAATAAATATATAGATTTATTTGTGCTGTCTGCAGATGGATCTCTGGCCATGTTTTCATTTTTACACTAATTTAATTATCATGCTGTTAGCAAGAATTCTGAATTAGAAAATGCGAGACGATTCCCAAAAAATAATCATGCAAAATCGACCATTTGGCCATTTTTGTTTGCACCTTTCTGTCCTGTCTTTTAGCAATTTTTTTTTTTTTTTTTTTAAACGGACCGATTTTCTCTACATATCTTGGCAAATCCTGGCGTCAAATTCTTGCATTCGTTTATTGCTTGAAATCACAGCGAAAATTTCCAGAGTGACCAGATTGAAGAAGGTATCCAAGAACATGATCAGGCGTGCAGTCGGTAAGAACTTTTCAGAAATCCCCTTGAAGTCTCCAAGAATTGGAATGGTTTTGAATCGACCAAATTATGGTCGCCTTCGAAGTTTTCAACATAACACGGAGACTAATGTGGACAGGAATCACCAAAGAAGAAATTAAATTCTTGAATACGTGATAAAAACCGACGACGACTCGTGTTTATTTAATCATTTGTAGTTTATTTAATTTGTTTTATTATTAATTCGTTAATTCATTATTTACTTTTTTTGTTTAGTTTACTTTTTCTAGGCGTTCGGTTATCTTAATTGGTTAGTTTAAAATCTAGTCTTTGTGTAAAGTATTGTGTATGTAGTGAATATATTTAAATTTTTCATGGCTGTATTTTTTTTATTTTAGTTTTTGATTTTTAAATTTTTTTTTTTTTTTTGTAAATTTTTTTTTTTCGTGTCTGCATTTTGATTAAACTTCTGATCCTTTATTTAGTAGTTTGTGTTGGTCTGGGAAGGTAATTATAGCTATTTTTCCTCCAGGCAGAGTTTACAGTTTTTGGATTTATTGTTGTAGTTGTAGGCTGTTGATGCTGTTTTCTTTATTTTCCACGACATATTCTATGATTTAAATGCACCATTGGCCAGCATATATAAACAGTCGAGCCAAAACACAAAACACGTGGCCTAAAGATTGCGTACACGCATGAAACAGACTGTCGCCTCTTGATGTTGACCTGTGTCTACTCGTGCGTGTACTATAGTTATTTATATTGTATTTAAAACATTTTATTTATTCTTTTTAAAGTATAGTGTGTCCTATCATTATCTATTTTGTAATTAACATATATTTTATTTATTTATTTACGTCTTATCTCCTTTATTTAGTAGTTTGTGTTGGTCTGGGAAGGTAATTATACCTATTTTTCCTCCAGGCAGAGTTTACAGTTTTTGGATTTATTGTTGTAGTTGTAGGCTGTTGATGCTGTTTTCTTTATTTTCCACGACATATTCTATGATTTAAATGCACCATTGGCCAGCATATATAAACAATCGAGCCAAAACACAAAACACATGGCCTGAAGATTGCGTACACGCATGAAACAGACTGTCGCCGTTTGATGTTGACCTGTGTCTACTCGTGCGTGTACTATAGTTATTTGTATTGTATTTAAAACATTTTATTTATTCTTTTTAAACTATAGTGTGTGTCCTATCATTATCTATTTTGTAATTAACATATATTTTATTTATTTATTTACGTCTGATCTCACAATCAACCTACAGTCTGTTGTTAACTGGGGCAAAGAATAGCTTGTTAATTTGAACGCATCTATAACTAAACTGCTCTGTTAATCATCTGAAAGCTTTCTGCCTTCCATCAACATGGCTGATAATAACCTCTAGGGGAGTGACTTTTACCTTCTCGGGTTAACATTTTCGGCCGACATTAAGTGGAAAGTCTACATTGAATCCATTGCTGAGCCATCTGCTAATAAAGTTGGTTCACTGTGTCGTGCTAGACAATTTTTTTCACTATCTATCTTATATATCTATAAGTCTACCATCCGTCCATGCTTACTATATATGAAAAGATTCTTGATAAAATCTAAAGAAGAATAATCATCCTGAACTAGCATCTCTTTCCCACTTTCAGCCGAACTAAAAATTAGAACTAAACGAGATATCTCCAGACAGCGAAACGAGAACAATCTACCACCATAGATTAAACAATTTACCCGCAAAAGTTAAACAATCTACCCGCATAGATTAAACAATCTATCAGCATAGATTAAACAATCTATCAGCAAAAATTAAACAATCTACCCGCACAAATTAAACAATCTACCCGCATAGATTAAATAATCTACCCGCATAAATTAAACAATCTACCCTCACAAATTAAACAATCTACCCGCATAGATTAAGCAATCTATCAGCAAAAATTAGAACTAAACGAGATATCTCCAGACAGCGAAACGAGAACAATCTACCACCATAGATTAAACAATTTACCCGCAAAAGTTAAACAATCTACCCGCATAGATTAAGCAATCTACCCGCATAGATTAAACAATCTACCCGTATAGATTAAACAATCTATCTGCATAAATTAAACAATCTACCCGCATAGATTAAACAATGTACCCGCATAAATTAAACAATCTACCCGTATAAATTAAACAATCTACCCGGATACATTAAAAAAGAAGTGTTCAGTTCAAAATTCCCTGAAGATTACACGGATCGACAAGTACCAGAAGAAGGCCGGATAGCACAACCGCCGAAACATTGAGATAATAACAACAATGATGAAGACAATCGCCCGAGTGTAAATAACGTAAATAATTAAAACTCCTGGTCCGAGAAATTCAGACGGAAATGATATTTTAAACATATATCATTTAGGGTCTGTTTTTCTTATAAAAATGGATAGTGAGTTCGGAATGAGAAATTTGTAGAGCCGAATTCGAATCCCAGTAGACTTCGTTTTATTTATTTATACGTAACTAACCTCCCTCCCCAAGTATGTATTAAAATAGTAGCACTTGTGTCTAGAAAAAAAATCGTTGAAATTCTCAACGTATTGATAATGAAAAAAAGTGAGAATTATACTTACATCCAAAAATATGTTTTGGCTTTTAAATAACCCCTAAAGGGTTGATAAGACGTAAAAAAACAAGCCGATGATAGTTGTACCAATACTGAAAAAAAAGCAGACTATTTCACAAACGTAAAACCATAAAACAAACGAAGTAAGTTCATTAACCTCACCCATTTTGGTATCATGATCCTTAGGGTATAAGATTCAAATGTTCGAATTACAAAAATTCAGAAGCTGGAGTCCTTGTATTTTTGAGTTGGGTCACTCGTATTCGAGGATACCCGTTGACTAGGGCGGCAAACCAATCTCTACTGCATACGCTTGGTCATGCGTATTTGTGTTTATTTAACACCCCCAGAGCCCACCTGCAGTTTATACTGCAACTATGAAGACCTTAGTTACAGTATATGCAGATCTTAGCTACAGTTTCTGGGAAAAGTGCGTGATATCTAGCGTGATCAGCAACTTGAACAAGGCCAGCACGCTCAGTGACCGTCTACCCAATTTCACTCACAAGGCTTGGGTCAACCTGTGGTATGGTTTTCAGTCATTTTCCAAAGGTGTCGCACGCTGGGCCTGAGCCCTCCAATCCGATAAAATCTCCTGACAAATCGACTATGGTGAGATTCGAACACGGGTCTCATGGTCAGAATGCGAACAGTCTAACCACTCGGCCACGTGCCCAAGTAAGAGAAAATGCTGCAAATTATTACTTGATTAATTAACACCGGCATCAAGGCCTCTTATCGGGAGATTAGAGGTTTTGAGGAACGTGGAACTACCTCTTAATTGTTGTTGTCCCCAGATTCAACCTGATCCGGTGTGGTAGCACCTGTTAGGGTCTCGGCTATGGGCAAATAATGAAACTCCAAACTAAAACAAAACACTATAAAAGTATAAAATACAGCAATATATTGCTGTATTTAAAAAAAAAAGATCAACAATACATATTTATAATATAATGACCAGCAATACATTTTATTTGTAGTTGAAATTACAACTGCATTCAAAAAATATTTAGTTGACAATATAAAATTGTGTTCAGATGATTTAGATTACAATATTGAATAAGTCATAGAGGTGGATATGTCGCTAAACAAAACCAACCAACTAATTAACAATCATGGACGTCTATATTCTATAATTGTGAAAATCTTTTAATATTTGATATCGGCACGGAATGAGGAATCGGTAGATCCGAGTTCGAATCCCAGTCTGTTTTCTTGCATTCACTTACGTGCAAATAGCCTTGGTAATTTAATAACCCATCACTTCTACCTCTTCGGGGTTTCTATAGGCTTTGACCATAATACTACTTAACGTAAATACTATGTAACCTTAATAGTACTTAATCTTAATATTAGCTAACCTTAATACTATTTCACTTTTATACTAGTTAACCTTAATAATAGTTAAACTTACTCTAGGAGAAAAGAGAGAGAAGCGATGGCTTCGTACCTTTACGAAGAATATTTGCGCATAAGTAAATATAATAAAACTCGACTGGTTTTCGAACATGGCTCTCCGATTTTTCATCTTGAGTCGATATCCATTGCACCACCCGCAATCATCTTAAAGTTTAAGACATGAAGTTTAAAATCACATTTGCATAGGCGTGGCAAAAAGATAGTTTCCAGCAAAAATTGTTTTCTTTTCTCCTCAAGTGTCATAATAATTTTTGTTTATGCATCTGTTCTCGTCTCTGTGAGTATGTGTGTGTTTTCGTGTGTCTGCTTATGTGTGTGTGTGTGTGTGTGTGTGTGTGTGCGCGCGCGCGCACGTGATTTTTGTGATTATGTGTTTGTGTATTTTGTGTATTTGTGTGTTTATGTATGCGTGTGGGTGTTTGTGTATGCGTGTATGTGTTTGTGTGTGGTCGCGTGTGTTTTGTGAGTATTTGTACATGTTTTCGTGTTTGTGTGGGTGTCTGCGTGTTTGCATGTGTGTTTGTGTGTGAGTGTGTGTGTGTGCTTTTATGTGTGTCTGCTTGTGTATGTGTGTGCGCGCGCGCGTGATTTTTGTGTTTATGAGTTTGTCTGTGTATTTTGTGTATGTGTGTGTTTATGTATGCGTGTGTGTGTTTGTGTATGCGTGTATGTGTTTGTGTGTGGTCGCGTGTGTTTTGCGAGTATTTGTACGTGTTTTCGTGTTTGTGCGGGTGTCTGTGTGTTTGCATGTGTGTTTCTGTGCGAGTGTGTGTGTGCTTTCGTGTGTCTGCTTGTACCTGTATGTATTCGTGTTTTTTGTGTCTTTGCCTGCGTATTTTTGTGTGTATACGTGTGTGTTTTTGTGTGTGCGTGTGTGTGCGCGTGTGTTTTGTGCGTATTTGTACATGTGTGTGTGTGTGTGTGTGTGTGTGTATGTGTGTGTGTGTGAGAGAGAGAGTGAGAGATTCAGGGATTGTGGTTTGCGACCTTTGAATAATGGTCGAGCCATTCTAAATCTATTTTGTTTAAAAATCGAGCGAACAATTCAATATTTGCTTGTTATATTTTTGACTAAGAAAAAGAATTCCTATGTGTTTCATTTTTGTCAGTTAACAAAACAATTTTTCTATTCCGCCCCCGTCCCGTATTTTTTTTTTATCTTTCCTTTGTTTATTCCACTTTATTGAGTTTCCTGTTGACTTTTCCCTGTTTTTTTCTCTCTTTCGAATTCTTATTAAGAAAATAAGATTGAGTAAATAACAAAAACAAAAACAGTTCTTTGTCTTTGTTGCTTTGGTTTTTGTTGATCTGATTGGAATTAGTCTGGTCGATTTTCCACTTGAATGTGATATTCGAAGAGACTTAACCTGCGCCAAAAACCTTAACCCCAAATCTTCACCTCTCACTGTCAAACTCCATGCCATAACCACTGTCGCCAATTTGGTGTCATCTCCGCTCATTGCTTGCCTTGTCTCTAACTTCTTCCACTTTAATCTGTAATTTCTACTTTCACTTTTGTTATTGAACTTATGTCACTTTCACTTTCGTTTTCTGTCGTCTAAGTGGAAATATAATATTAAAAAACATCATGTTAAAATCTATGGTTTTGTGTCGAAACAGTCGCAATAGTGGCTAAAGAGAAGTAGGCTAATTTTTATTATCTTCTTCATTATGCATAAAGTGTAGTTTTTATTTATAGTAACGGTGGCAATGATGATGATTAGGATGATAGTAGTGGGAGGGAAGATGGCAATGGTGATGGTGTTAGTGGGGGATGATGATGAAAGCAATGGGGATAGTTATGGTGGTATTGGGGAGGATGTTGATGGCAATGATGACGGTGTGATATGGATGATGATGATGAGGGCAATGGTGATGGTGGTAATGGGGAGGATGATGATGCCAATGGTGATATAATGGGAAGATGTTAATGGAGATGGTGGGAGGAGGAATATAATGGTGGTGGTGGCGGTGGTGGTGGTGGTGGTGGCATTGACGGCGGTGATGGTGATGAAAGTGAGGATCCTGATAGTGGTGGTGGTGGTGGTGGTGGTGGTGGTATTGGTGAAAGTGGCCATGATGAAGATGATGATGATAATGCAGAGAGTATCATTTATTTATCTGTGCTGACTATAACAAAAACAAGTAGCGGGAAGCGTTGCCGACAACGATTATATGACAACATCAACGCAGGTAGAAGGGAGCAATGATGATGATGATGATAATGGTGATGATGTTATTGATGATAAACTAGAAACCGCATAAAATTTACAACCAGAATCTATCTTACATATCTATAAGTCTACCATTCGTCCATGCTTAGAACATTGCTGCTACATATGGTCTGGGGCCCCTGCTATTTACCTTGATCTCCTTGATATGATCCAAAGAAAATCAGCAATATTATTGATCCTGATCTGGCAGCTCGGCTTCAGTCTCTCTATGTATTTTCTATAAATACTTTCATGGTGATTGTTCGGATGAACTCTTCACTATGGTACCTAGAGTTTTTGAATTTAAGCTCAGTACTCGACTGGCGTCGAGATCTCATCAATTTACAGTTGAGCTGGCTAGATGTAGCTGTAAGTTCTATGCTCACAGTTTCTTTTCTCGTACTTCTCGCTTGGGGATATAAAGTTAGTGGTTCGTGTTTAAGTTTCCTAATGCTTGAATTTATGTCTTACAAAAAAAAAAAATAATTAGTAAATGGCGAAAATACTAAAGACATTATATGAAGTAAGGAAATAATTATAAATTGAACAAGATTCAAAAATTAAAATTTCAATTGATGAGAGGACAAGAAAAAACTGAGGGCCAATTATTACCCTCATTGGACAACCTATCAATCGTTCAACCAATCAAAACTTTTAAATGTTCAACCAATCAAAGCGAATGATGCAAAGCCAATTGGGTGCAGACAGAAGTGCAAGGAGCAAGGAATTAAAACGGACCTCTGAAATAATCGAGCAAAAGAAGGAAGAAGTGGAGTCAAATGGTATGCAGTCAAAGACGGACGTGGAAGTTTGTATGTGGAACAGGGTGGGGCGAAAAAGAAAGGGATATGGAGATAAAACAAGGTGGAAGGAGATGTAAGAATTGAAGTGAAGGATGTTTGGCATTGTCGGCAGCTTGGAGATAAGGGTAATGTCTCGCACCTGTGGCTCAAGTTCCAGATCGAACGATCGACTTGCGTTTTGATTGTGTCCGATTGACACCAATGTGAGGACAGGAGATAAGAGTGCCGTGCCTTCATGGACAAGCCCAGCTATAGATCACTATACAACAGGTGCCTAAATCTTAAGGAAAAGGAAGGAAGGAAGGAAGGAAGGAAGGAAGGAAGGATAATAGAAGGAAGGAAGGAAGGAAGGAAGGAAGGAAGGAAGAAGAGAAGAAAGAAAGGAAGGAAAGAACAAAGGAAAATAAAAGGAAGGAAGGAAGGGAAGAAAGAAAGAGAGAAAAAAAGAACAAAGGAAGGAAAGTAAAAACGAACGAAGGAAGAAAGAAGGAAGGAACCAAAGAAAGAAAGAAAGAAAAGCTAGGAAGGAAGGAAGGAAGGGAAGAAAAGAAATAAGAAAGAAAAAGGAAAGTAGGAAGGACAAGTGAAAGTAAAAAGGAAGGAAGAAATGAAAGAAGTAAAGAAAAAAAGAAGGAAGGAAGAAAAAGTAAAGACAAGTAGGAAAGGAAGGAAGGAAGGAAGGAAGGAAGGAAGAGAAAAACAAAGGGAGGACTGAAGGGAGGAAAGAAATTGTAAAGGAAAGAAGGAAGGGAAGAAAGGAAGAAACAAAAGAAAGAAAGAAACTACGAAGGAAGGATTGTAGGAAGGATGGGAGGAAAGTAGAAACGAAAGAAAGAAGGGATGAAAGGAAGGAAGAAAGAAAGGAAAGAACAAACGAGGGACAGAAGGAAGGAAAGAATGAAGGAAGGAAAAAGTAAGGAAAGAAAGAACAAAGGAAAAAAGACGTAAAAAAGGAAAGAAGAAAGGAAGAAAGAAGAAAGAAAGAAAGTAGGAAGGAAAGAAGAAAATGAAGGAAGGAACAAAGGAATCAAGGAAGGAGGAAATGAAAGAAAGAAAAAGAGTAGGAAGGAAAGAAAGAAAGGAAGAAAGAAAGGAAAGAACAAAGGAAGGAAGGAAGGAAGGAAGAAAAAGGAAGAAGGAAAAAGAAGGAAAAAAGAAGGAAAGAATGGAAGAACGGAAGGAAGGGTCAACTGATTAAATTAGGTGCCATTTCTTTCGTATAAATAAAAAGTAATTGTTAATGTATCTTCTACACACACACACACACACACATATATATATATATATATATATATATATATATATATATAAAATCGGTATATATATAAATGCACGCACATACATTCATATATTCGCGTAGGTGTGTCTATGCGCGGAATTATATATGTATATGCGTATGCGCATAAGCTTTATGCCAGAGTAAATATTTATTCAGAATTCTACCCGCAAATGGTTGTGCGTGCGTGTAATTATATATCCATATCTCTGCACATATTTGTCTGTATGTGTGTGTCTGTGTGTGTGTGCGTGCAAGGAGTTATATATTTATATGGGTGTGCGCTTATATGAGCGCATGGGAGGAAGTATATATTCATATCTGTGTACGTGTATATGTGTGCATGCGCGAAATTATGTATTCAGATGCGTGTGTGAGCGGGTGAGTATATATTTATATGTGCGCGTGTAGGCGTGTATTTGCGTCTGTGTGTGAGTGGGTGCATAGACTGACCGCCGCCGCTATAACATCATTTTCAGATTTGTCTTTCCTTTCTACCAATGGGAGCTTTTTTATCTTTTTCTTTATTTTCTCTAAACGACAAAATTGAGTCCAGGGTGAATCAGAAGGAAGGAAGACAGAAGAAAGAAAGAAAGAAAGAAAGAAAGAAAGAAAGAAAGAAAGAAAGAAAGAACAAAAGGAAGGATGGAAGAAAAGAAAATGGAAAGAAAAGGGAAGAAAGACATGAAGAAAGGAAGAAACAAAAGAAAGAAAGAAAGAAAGAAACTAGGAAGGAAGGAAGGAAGGAAGGAAGGAAGGAAGGAAGGAAGGAAGGAATAGAGAAAGGACGGAAGAAAGGAAAACAGAAGACAAAGGAAGGAAGAAATGAAAGAAGAAAAGAAAAAAGAAGGAAGAAAGAAAAAAATAGGAAGGAAGGAAGGAAGGAAGGAAGGAAGGAAGGAAGGAAGGAAGGAAGAGAAAAACAAAGGGAGGAGGGAAGGGAGGAAAGAAATTGGAAAGGAAAGAAGGGAAGAAAAAATGGAAGAAAAGAAGAAACAAAAGATAGAAACTGCGATGGAAGGAAGGAGGGAAGGAAGGAATCTAGGAAGGAAGGAAAGTAAAAAGGAATGAAAGGAAAGAACAAACGAGGGACGGAAGGAAAAAAGGAAGACAGAAGGAAGGAAAGCAGGAAGGAAGGAAAAAGGAAAGGAAAGAAAGAAGAAATGAAAAAAGACGTAAGAAAGAAAGAAAGAAAGAAAGAAAGGAGGAAGAAAAGTAAGAAAGAAAGAAAGAAAGAGAAAAGGAAAAAAGGAAAGAAAGAAGAAAAGAAAGAACAAGGTAAAGACGGAAGGAAGTAAAGAAAATAGGAAGGAAAGTAGGAAAGAAAGAGTGGAATCAGTATAGTTTCAAAATACAGGGTACAGCAGAAATATCGCATACATTTCAAACTGTAACCCTGTGTAGTATTAGTGAAATTAAGCGAGTATCAATGATTTCTTCCTCTTGCTAATGTATTAAAATTTTTTTTTTTTTGCTGTTGAACCGTTTTTAAATTGGTGAATCTGTAAATTCTTCGAACTTATTTCATGTTACGTTGGAGTGGTGCTGTTCCACGTAGGAAATTGATTCTGTTATGAGTTTGAAAATTGCTGGAACACAGATTGAGTGCTTAAGAGAAAGACTACGATGCGCTCGAAATCCAAAAAATGGCCAAAGAGTGAGACTGTCTGTTCTGCAATCTCCAACACGTTCAGCCCATAAGCATGCTTCGACATTCGGATTTTCTGATCGAACAGTCAGAAGAATTATACACATCGATCTAAAGTTCCGTCAATACAAATACAGGTTGTTCATGAACTGCCAGAATTCGACTGGGAAAATCAGACGCCATTCTGTGACGATACCTTACAAAATGTTCCTGCAAATCCTTTTCTTCTCACAAGTAATGAAACTCACTTTTATCACTCTAGCTGCGTCAATAAACAGAATTTTAGCTACTGGGCGGGTTATAACCCTAGACAGCTTCATGAAAAACATCTACACATCGAACGAGTGACTGTCTGGTGCGGAGTTAGAAATATTTGATGTATAGGGTCATTATTTTTTTAAGTAACACCTGACCGGTATCTGGTGATGCTGCGGACATTTCTAGAAACTCAGAGAAATTGGGAGTACGGATTTGTGGTTTCAACAAGATGGCGCTACACAGCAAGAAGAGATGGACGCTTTGAGAGAAATGTTTCCAGGACATTTGATTTCCTTACACGGTGACATTGGATGGCCTGCACTCTCCCTCAGTCTCACCATCCAGCTGCAATTACTTTCTCTGGGGTTAATTGAAAGCTGAGGTCAACAAATATTAACCAGCAAGCGTAGAAGAATTAAAGAATACTATTCGCCAAAAATTGGCAGAAATACAGCCAAGAATGATTCTTCGGTTGATGGAAAACTTTACAAATCGTCTACAACAGTGTATGGCGAATAGATTCCACCATTTGGAGGATGTCATTCTTAACCCAAAGCAAATAAAAATGTCCAGCCTGCAGAAATCGTCTAGAGACCACCATTTGGAGGATGTCAGTATGACAATAAAGATGAGGACAACAGTCAGAACAGTGTAAATAGTAAGAAACACTGTTTTAAATAAAAATGGTGCGTCTATTTTAAACACGAATATCCACTAAAATTTTCTGCATTATTCTGATTACGTCTAGAGTCAATGAGTATAAATCCATTTCACTGATTGTCGAAATTGATTCTGACTGGATGTCGGTCCGTATAGAATTAATATCGCTAATTGATTAAAAATCACAGTCAAGGATTTCTTTTTAGTCAAAAGATTTCTCTCACTTTTTTTTTTCTTTTTTAAGTAACATCATTTTAGGTATTGTCTGAATGTTTGTAATCAAGTGTGTTCAACCATATTTCTGTTCATTTTCAAGAACCAATACTTTCAAAAATCACATACAAGACAGACTTCAGCTTTAAGTGTCGTAGAAAGACAAATCCATCAACCAATTAACTTTCAGAACAATCTCGCTAATCATACGCGATGATGACGTCGCGCACACGTGACTTAGAATCGAAGTTCTTCATTCGCTAAAGTGTATCGTCACTAAAAATCGGCTTCTGATATTTTTTATTTTTTATATATATATATATATATATATATATATATATATATATATATATATATATATATATATTAAATTTGTGTTTTAGATTGCAAATTCTATTTTAGGCATGTCAGAATAAATTAAAAACATTATGTCTAATTTTTAACAAAATCCGTTCATACTTACGAATAACCTTCCTTGTATTGATGTTGAAGGATGACAGATATGTGCTATAGCTGTTTAAATTTCTTTTATTTTCATTTTTCAAAAGTACTTTCGATCTTTTTCCAAGATTATCTTCAGGGGTGCAAGTAGTACAAAACTATATGTTGTTCATTAATATAAGTATTTATACAAAGTTGTGCGTTGTAATCCATTACTGTAGTTTTTTAATTTATACTTTTAAATGGAAAAAAGGTTGACAATGTGCTGAGCATTCATTAAAACGTGAAAAAATTATCCATTATGGAATTTTTTCTCTCTAGGTTATAATGTCATGGTCAGGCGCGCATTAAAGCATGAAGAAACTGTTCCTTTACAAGCATTTCAGAACATTACTACAGTATTCATACTTAATTCTTTTCAGTGTCGGCTTTATTTTCATATATATATATATATATATATATATATATATATAAAGAGAGAGAGAGAGAGAGAGAGAGAGACGTGAAATTTTAGAAAAAAACTTTATCTCTGGAGAAGTTTATATATATATACATAATTTGGAGAAGTTAGCTTAGTGGTATTGGTTCAGTCATATGGACATGTTATCTTGATGTGCTTACGAAACTACGTAGTAGGCATGACTGAACCAACACTACTCAGGTAAATGATAAACTTCTCCAAATTAATCATATTAACGCTATATCCTAACTTTTAATATCGAGCGCTTTATGACAAAAACATGACTGCCCAAAAGGCTTTCCACCCTGAAAAAGAAACAGTACTGGTACTTAATAAGATAGATAGATAGATAGATAGATAGATAGATAGATAGATAGATAGATAGATATATAAAGTGAACATTAAAGTCAACATTCAGCCCCTGACGATTGCGTATAAGAATGAAACAGACTGTCGTCACTTCACTTTGACTTCAATGTCATTTTTTATATTTACATAGGCTCTATCCCTGATATTGAGTACTTTGATCCATAAATATAGCATACCTTAAAACTATATTTTTATCATATATATATATATGTGTGTGTGTGTGTGTGTGTGTGTGTGTGTGTGTGTGTAAATAAAAAGAAAGAACAGTAAGATATATAATCCGGTGTTCTTATAGATATTTTTATTTTTACAAGATAGTGCTCAATGTAAATTTACAGAGCATTAATATTGTAAATTAATTGATTTAAAATATGTTTTTTCCGCTACATGGTTCTAACCATGTTTCAAAAATAGAAGCTAAAAGCCCTGAATTTAATTTTGTAATTAAATTAAAAGCATTAGTTCCATTTCATCCTCAAGCGAATTTTGGAGTAACTTTTAAAAAATTACTGGGTTTTAAAGACACAGCTAAAATCACGTTTCCATGGTTACAGAATATTCTACTTCTATTTTTGAAACATGGTTAGAACTGTGTAGCGGAAAAAACATATTTTAATCAATTAATTTATAATATATATATATATATATATATATATATATATATATATATATATATATATAAAAAATATAGTCTTAAGGTGTGCTATATTTATGAGATAAAGTGCTCAATATCAGAGATAGAGCGTGTGTAAATATAAAATGAACATAGAAAGCCATCACTTAGAGGCAACAGTCTGTTTCATGCTATATGCAATCGTCAGGCCTGACAATTGCATATAGCATGAAACAGACTTTCGCCTCTAAGTGTTGACTTCTATGTTCACTTTTATATATATATATATATATATATATATATATATGAGGACCTTGAATAAGTTCTCGCTGTTTTCCAACAGATGGCGTTTCCAGAATTGCGTGCGCGTAATTTCAGATGGTAACGCATCTCTGAGGAAGTACTAGAAGTTAGTTTGAAATTCAGTGTATGTCATTTCACCGAAGTGTAAACAACATTGTTTTTCCTAGCGTTAAACCTGTCGGATTTCGCGCTAAAGAAAGTGTATTTGCGGGGAATTTTACTGCACTACTTTATTCAAAAGAAAACTGCAGCTGAAGCACACAGAATTCTTGTTGAGATTTACGGCGACCATACTCTCTCGGAAACAACATGCAGAGATTGGCTTAGACGCTTCGAAAATAATTATTTTGATGTTGAAGATAAAGAACTCTCTGGCACATCGAAAAGACAAAGAATTGAAGGCATTAGTTCATGAAGATTCATGTCAGGTGCAAGCTGAACTTGCAGAATCATTAGGAGTTGATCACACAACAGTTTCGAAATGTTTTAAAGCATTAGGAATGATTCAGAAGCAATGACATCAAGTTGAAGCCGAGAGATGTCGAACGGCGTCTTGTCACGTGTGAACAGCTGCCTCAATGGCAGAAAAAGGAAAGTTTTTTTTGTGTGTGTCGTATCGTGACCGGCGATGAAAAGTAGGTGCACTACGATAATCCTAAGCGTAAAAGACCGTGGGGTAAGCCGAATATCCATTGTTCGAAGCTTCTGCTCTACATTTGGTGGGAACAGCTGGGCGTAGTTTATTATGAGCGGTTCAAACCGACTGAAATCATGACGGGAAATCTCTATCGACAACAATGCAATGCGTCTGAAGAAAAAAAAACGGCCGCTATACGAGCAGACACGCGACAAAGTGATTTTGCAACATGACAACGCTAGGCTACATGTTGCAAAATGTGTGAAAACCTACTTGGAAAAGCTTAAATTGGAAACCCTACCCCACCCGCTGGATTCACCAGACATTGTTCCGTCCGATTATCACTTGTTCCGATTGATGGCACATGATCTGGTTGAGCAGCACTTTCATTTTTATGAAGATGCAACAAAATAGGTCGAATCCTGGTTAGCTTCATAAGACGTGTGGTTTTTCCGACGTAGGATTCAAATGCTACCAGAAAGATGGGAAAAATAGTGGCTAGCAATGGGCAATACTTTCAGTGACATGTTTTTTACTTTGTAAATAAAACATTACTTTTCATAAAAAATCAGCAAACTTATTCAAGGTCATAATATATATATATATATATATATATATATATATATATATATATATATATATATATATATAAGTTTTCGTGTGATGCATTTCTCACTTAAGGCTTCATCCACTGAAGTCCTAAAGGATGAAAACATGTCACTTGAAAACATGTTCCACTTTGTCATACATATTTCCTTCAAAACTGTTCTTGATGTATAAAAATTTATATATCGTTATCCTATATATCTATGGATTAACAGTATTATAATGCATACATTATATACTACTAGCGATGGATATCGCCAATAATAGCATTAATATTGCTGATTGATTCTATGCGTGATTATTTCTTTGTATATAAATTATATGCTGCCTAATGTTTTATGTTTATAAAAAACTATCGATCCGCAGTACAAAAAAAATTCCTATAAAAAAAACTACTACTAAGACATAACACTATATTAATTGAACTATATACTGAGTTCATGACATATTAACTGAATACACTTGTAAAAATAGAATACGTGGATTTACCACATCACAAGAAAAGTTCAAATAAAATTCTCACTTAAAATTTTGAAAAACTTCGCGTTGCGTCTTTGCACGTTCCGATATTGTACACAACCGTCAATAATGGCACATTCTCAAAAAAACATCTTTCGGTCTACAAACAATTATTTCGTCTCCAAGTTTTTGATTTTATAAGGAAAACATATGCCTGACGATGAATAAAGGATTATTCAAAAGTACTTGCATTTTAAAAAAATACAAACTGGAAACAACAGACAACAGTTTTATAAATGAGGATCACATCACTCTATGGATTAACAGTATTTTAATGCATACATTATACACTACTAGCGATGGATGTCGCCAATAATAGCATTAATATTGCTGATTGATTCTATGCGTGATTATTTTTTTGTATATATATATATATATATATATATATATATAACATACTAAAGTAAAAAAAAAGGACCAAAAGATAACATACACTTAACACACACACACATCCCTTTCACACCAACCAATAAAGCTGTCAGAATGACTAAGGAGATAATTCTTAAACTCATGAATCTCCCAGCTTCTTAAAAAAAACGAAAGAGGCCTTTTGACCAATACAAGAACTGACAAAAATTAACAATAAAAAAATAAATGAAAACTACAGGCAAATTTCACTTTCTTCAGAGACGGTCATTCACTTCTATAGTTCACTACTACTAACAAGCAGGGATTTTTTCTTCTGATGATGGCCATGCTGACCGAAACAAGTCGAGGAACCTTATTTAAACAATAAAACAAAAAAATATTAAAATGTCTAAAATTTTAATTTTTTAAGATTTTTTTTTATTGTTCGAAACACTTTTATATATATATATATATATATATGTGTATGTGTGTGTGTGTGTGTGTGTGTGTGTGTGTGTGTGTGTGTGTATACGCTTGTTCTTTATTTAAAAGAAATTTCCTGACACCTCCAAAAATTATGTTTTCCTATATCTAAGTTCAATATCTCTGCAAAAGTCATGGATCGATTTTACATTGTATCGAAATTATAAACATTTCTTCATCTACTCTGTCTATATTTCTGAGATGAGGTATTATGTACATTATTTACATTATTCGGACTATTGTCCTCATCTTTGTTGCCATATTTATCACAACGTTTCGGCCGTTGTACGCTCCGGCCTTCTCAAGGAAACATGTCACAGTGGATAAAGGCGTTGGTTAGATCCAGTGACAGGACCCAAAGAGTGTGAGTTCAATACCCGGTTAAGGCAGTGGCGAACTTTCAGAGGGAAATTAGCAGGAGATAACTGATAACTGACATCCATCAAACATGGCACGTGAATAGTTCTACCCCGGTGAGCGAAATAAAGGATTCAGTTCGACATTCCAACCACCTGAAGAAGGTCGGAGTGTACAACGGCCGAAACGTTGTGGTAAATATGGCGACAAAGATGAGGACAATAGTCCGAATAATGTAAATAAGGTCTTCATCTAAATTGATAAAAAATCAATATGTTCACATTTTAACCACAGTGCCACGGCCAAAGACAAGTCTAATGATAATGGGCAAAAATTATTCCCCAAACTTGTTTTCCCTTAGCCACTCTACTTAAGTCCAACCGCAATATTTTAAAACAATTGAAATATAAAGAAAATATTATGGAGACGCAAGTCAGTAAGAATAAGATTCTGAAAAGTTCAGTTAGTCGATATTAAATTCAATAACGAAATATATATATATATATATATATATATATATATATATATATAAAGTGAACATAAAGTCAACACTTAGAGGTGACAGTCTGTTTCATGCTATATGCAATCGTCAGGCCTGACGATTGCATATAGCATGAAACAGACGTCGCCCTATAAGTGTTGACTTCTATGTTCACTTTTTTATATTTACACGCTCTATCTCTGATACTGAGCACTTTATTCCATAAATATAGCATACCTTAAGACTATATTTCTTTATATATATATATATATATATATATATATAATGAAAAAACAGACCTCTTTAAGGTACCATTACAATAATTTATTTCACCAAAATCCTTTTTAGAGGATTTCTGATCATCAGGTAACACTTCCAACAATAAAATGAGAGGAAAAATGGGATTAGAAATTGATGGGTAGTGTAATTATTGTAATTAAACAGGGAGGGTGAAAGTGGCAGTTAAAGAGACAATACAGAGTATAGGGAGGGTTAAATTTATATCTCTCTTAAATAAGCTTTATATTGGGATAGGAGAAGTGACCTAACCTTGACCTATTTATATGGTTAAAAAAGAAGAAAAAAAACGGAAGTGATATGTAGGAATAGTGAGGAAAGGAAATAAAATAAAAGAAAAAAAAGTAGAAAAAACGCAGACGTATCCAAATGAGTTTTATGGCAAAGAG